CCAGCGTGCTCTTTGTGGGAGCAGTCAGTGTGGTTTTTCAGGGAGTGAGGACAGTCCCACAGTTGAATCTCATTCCCTCTGCACTCGACTCTGTTCAGCCACACGACACCTTTACCAGCACCAAATACTGAATTCCCATCAGCCCTCAGTGCTGCTCCACAACCCAGCTGCCTGCAGACCACCTGAGCATCGCTGATGTCCCACTGATCATCACAGACTGAGCCCCACACAGCGTTATGATACACCTCCAGCCTCCCAGAGCACCGGCCCTCCCCTCCACTCAGTCTGAGAGGAACATGATCTAAAACACACACATCAACCAGCACTGACCAGCAACATTCACAACAGCAACATTCACAACAAAGTTGTGATAATAAATGAAATCATAATAAACTTACTTGAACACTGTCTCTTGTATTGTGATGGTGAGGTAGAACATGTCAGAAAACTCTGAGGAGACTCGTGTGTCTGATCCTCTGAGAATAAAACATGTTAAAATTTAATTTACTACTGAATAGAACAAAATAATTAAGACTAAAAAATAATCATATTTAAACAAACAAAACATGACAATTTCAAACCATCTTAAATCAGTTAATATCATCTCACTTGAGCAGGTGATTTTGGCGACTTCATTATCACAGTCATTCTGTCCCCAGGGTGAAGACGGACACTGCCATAAAGTGGAATCATGTCGTCGACAATTAAGTTTATCAAGCCAATTATGAGACTTCAGTCCCTCTGAATAAATGGGTTCACTGCCAGATCTTCCACAGTTCAGCTCTTGACAGATCAGACTCGCTGTGTCTCTGTCCATCTGGTTGTAACACACATTACCCCAGGATCCATTGTAGAAAACCTCCACATTCCCTTCACAGCCCTCAGTTAACCTGATCTCTTTAAACTCTAGATGGAAAAGGATGAGAATCAACCTCAACTCTCACAGAATGACAGTGTTTTAATTAGGGATTTGAATTATACAGGCTTCAATGATTCTGATTAATCCTAACGATTACAGTTCATTAATAGTTCCATTAATTTATACAAAAAAAACAACACTGAACAAACAAACAAAAATACTTAATTCATTAATATATATAAAATACTAATACTGACCAAATGCAAAATGCATATCTTTAGCTGCACTTTGTCATTTGAACATCCAGTCTGTAACTACACTGATTTAAATCTCAAAGTTAGCTGTAAACTGTATGTCTGTGATTCACTAAAAATAACCGACTGATTAGAGTTTAGTTTGGGAATCTGGTTAGATTGGTCACGCTGCATGTTTTGTGCTGTAGATTCAGTAGTGTTATGTTCCGGTGTGGACGAGTGAGTAGTTTAGAAAACTTTAAATAAAATAATTATTTACATTATTGTTTACCTGAGCACACGACTCCTACATCCTCCTTGTGTTTACAGTCATGTTTTCCCCAGCCTGGAGAAGAGCAGCTCCACAGGGACGTCTCATTCCCCTCACACTCCACCTCATCCAGCCATATGGGTCCAGAACCAGGACCAAACCAGGCTGGTACCTGCTGGTTACTGAGGGCCACTCCACACTGCAGCTGTCTGCACACCACATGAGCATCTTTAATATCCCAGAAGTCATCACACACTGTCCCCCATGAGCCGCTGTGAAAAACCTCCAGCCTCCCTGCACAGTCTCCCCCAGAACCCACCAGCCTGATGGACCCGCGTCCTGATATTGAGAGACAGAAAAACAGTGATTGTACATGCACATTTTTGATCACTAATAACTAAAAAATCTGCCCAGATGTTGATTTTCTCACCAAAGTTCTTTACTGACAATGTATTTGATTTATTTTCCCTTCATTTCGGTCTCTTTACGTTCTGAACAGTTTTGTAAATGATAGCCTACTGTAAATGCCTGACATACCAATAAAGCTTTGATTATGATATGACTGAGCCTACGGGAATTTTTAATGGAAGTGCAGTTTAAAGGTTGAATTGAACATATATTTCATTTTATTTCGGCTAATTAATAGACTGTAATTATACATTTTCGTTGATGAATTAATCATTAGCATAGTTTCATTTGTAAATGAAAAAAACAACACGTCACATACGATCATAAATACAATCATAAAGTCAAAACTTTATTGGTATAATTGTGAGGCGTTTACAGTATTTGCCAAATATATGGTAGCATAATAATACTAGCATAATTATACTGAACGTTAATTGGGTAAAACGATACACGAATTGAAAGGGGAAATAAGCATATATAACAATAAATATAAAAATATAGCCCTAACCAGTTAATATAATAATATTATTATAATATTATTATATTGCAGTTATATAAGAATTATTATTATTATTATTATTATAAAATACAAATATTAAATAAAAAGACACAATCAGTTAACGGTTTTGTCAGATCAGACTGTCTGAATATACAAAAGACATTGCATATTTAATGGTGATTCTCTTCATCATAGTTTATTTTAAGATCATAAGGAATTAGAATGAATATATTATTATGAACAAAACAATTAAACAGACTGCCTGTTTCATAAGATTGATAGTGATGTTTGTAAACACCAGCATAAGTGTGTTATTGCTTGAGTGAGAATTATGAAAGAGAGTGATGAAATAACAGACTGAGGTTTGGAGCAGTTTACCTGAACAGACGACACCAGCATCTTCATTATGTTTACAGACCTGCTGTGCATCCTCGCTGTCTGAACTGCAGTCTTTCAGTGCAGTCTCTGATCCACTACATTCTACATAAGCCATTGAAATTGGTCCTGATCCTTCTCCAAAGTGAGCATCATGTGTTGCTTTTACAGCCGTCCCACAGTCCAGCTCTCTACACACCACTTCAGCATCTTCAATTTCCCACCAAACATGACACACTGTTCCCCACTGACCATCATTATAAACCTCCACTCGACCAGCACAGGGATTACTGCCATTCACCAACCTCACACTCACACTGTCTACACATGAGAGAGAGAGACAATTACCAAACATTCAATATATGTTGTGCATACCAAACATACTGTAATATGTAGTAAAGTGTAACATTACATGTCAATTATTTCAGCACATTTTAAGAATAGATTACCTCTTGACCCTCATTATGTACCTACCAGAGCTGATGAGTTTTAAGACTCGTGTCAGTCATAAGTCAGTGTGGAGATAAAGTCACACTAAACTTAAAGCAGATTGATACAGAAACACTGCAGCTTATATTCAGCATCAAACCTGAACCTGAACACAGCAGATACAAGCACTGATGACTGACTTCTGTAAGTCTGAACACTTCAAACACTTACACAAACTAACTAGAACCAATTTCTCATGACTAATTGTAATGAATTAATGGACTTTACTCAGTTGTTCTTTATTCTAACTAAGAAAACAATAAAATATGATTACACCATAGTATAAACTATATTGTTTCTAAAGCTATTTTGATGAGTTTTTATTAAATTAAATATTATCTACTTTCATTAGGTATAACTTTGAGAATAAAATAACAGCAGTAATCTTGTGCGTTTAATACTGCGATGCTGCATTTGTCCAGCAGATGGCAGCAAAACACTTCTTATTGTAGAGGAGCAGCCAAGGGTCTTGCCCTGTGTTGCTGCATGAGGAACTTCTCACTAGTGAAAGTATTACAGGACAGCCTCTATTATGTGGAATGCCAAAGTTGCCAAAATAATAAATAAATGAGTATATAAATATACTAAGAAAATAAATAAATAAAATGTGAAAAAATAAATGAGAATTTCTACTTATATTTCATTATTTATGTATAATTGTATTTTTTCAACATTTATTTTTAATGTATTTATTTATACATTTACTAACTTGTTTTAAACTTACCTTTAAACGTACTATATTGATATAAAAAAGCAAATAGAAAGAAAATATATTTAAAAATTTTGATATCATCATAAAATGCATTAAAAATTATATTAATTCAGGGTTTCCTAAACTGGGCTTAATGCAAACACTGCAGTGGGTTTGTGAGTTGATTAAAAAACTAACAATTATTTAAATCATAAAAATGTCAAATAAATCATTTGAACACTAAAAACAGAAATATGTTATTTGTTTTGTCCACAGCCAAACTCTTTCAGGTCAGACTTCTCAGTTCAACAGTTAAGGTCCTTCTGGATATGATGACGACTGCTATAGTGTTTCACAGCTACACATCACCAGTATTTAATAACTTGCATTATTATTTGTGTCATACATGGTCTAACTGCTTGAGAGGCGCTTTTTTCACCCAAATTCAGAAACATGGTTTGAAAACTGATTTACATGACATTCACATGACCTTTCTATATTGTGAATATAGACAAAACTAAGTGTATGACACAAAGTAGGATTTTTAGAGAGAGAGAGAGAGAAAAGATGAATTATGGAGAATCAATAAATTATGAAGGATTTACTGCCATTGTGTGAATAATATGTAATAATGTAATCCATAAAAAGTAACTGTAATCTGATTATGAGCATTTTTAAAATGTAATATACTCTAATTATGAGCACTTGATTTTTGGAATCTGATTACATTACTAGCCAGCTCTGGAAAACATTTACTGTGTGTACCATGGTACTGTATATACAATAAATGCCATATAAAGTATTATCATCACTTTACTTATTTGGACATTAGCCTACTTAATATTTACCTGTCAGAAACGCTCACTCATACTGAAATCAAAAGTGTATTTTTTCATGATCTGATTTTAAATGAGCTTTCATTTTTACAGGTTTTAAAAATAGTCTGCAAACCAACTTTTTTTTCATCAGCACGAAAAAGAAAGAGCAAATAACATGACCTGGCCACATATTTGTTTGGAGACCAGAGAACCACAGATTAATAATAAATTAAAAAAAGCAGAAACATTGATTAAAATGGTTTATGTACACGACACAAAGGATGCTGTTCTCCTCAGAGGAGCGCTCACTGACTCAGAAAGAACCTCTGTTGGGTTGCATTCATATCTCAGGGCATTTTTGTCTTATTGGAGACATTAGAAATGGTCTGGATAAATAATGACACTTAAACACTTTAATAGCTATTGGATTTAAGATAAAAGTGAAATAGTCTAATTATTCAGAATAATTGTATAATTAGATTCAGAATCATTAATAGCTGCACTACATAATTCATCCACAAGATGGAAGTAATGCACATATAAATGTGTTGTTATGATTGATTGATTGAATTATAATAATAATAATAATAATTAGTAGTAGTAGTAGTACTTTTCAGTACTTTTTTATGAAAACATCAGTTACATGACCCGAGAATTAGATTTGGGTTATTTGGTAATTGTACAAAAGTTTTTTTTTTTTATAAATCAGCATTCTATAATTTTTTAATTAGTTTTAAAAAAGCTACAACAGTTTAAACCTGTAATATTTGCTTAATACATATGAAAACACAAACCAATACATTCTCACCTGTAAAAGATGATCCCATTTCTTCCCGGGTTCTACGACCAGAGGCTGTGCTCGAGGCTGAATTCAGCTTCTTATTCACAGCTTCTTATTGACGCTATCCGTTCCTCCTTAAAAACGCGTTTCTTAGCTTCTTATTCACGCTCAATTTATAGGGACCGTCTCTATTTGTGTCTCTTTTTCAGAAACGAACAATAAACTATTTTAAAATGTAAATAACACTGAGATAAGAGCGAAAACGGGCTGCCAACATTAAATTTAATTACATTATATGTTAATTATTAAACGTGCATGTCATTCTTTGAGTGCAGTAATGATTTTTTTTAAATCTAGCCTCTTATCAAGACTTTATATGACCCAGCACCTGTGAATAGAGGACAGATACAAAATGATGACATTTCCATTGCTTTAAAATGCACACAAAGTTTGCTTAAATGAATATATGGTATTTGTAAATACTATAATTTATACTAGACTTCAACTGTTCTTTCTGATACCCACTCCTATAAAGACTATTCTGGTTTTGTAACAGAAAAACTAGCATTTTCTGTAAAACTGCTCTGAAACAATATGTGTTGTGAAATGCGTTATACAAATAAATATGAATTAAACTAAATGAGCCATTGCATTGTTGGTTACTGTACCATGTTGTCTCCGAGGGTGTTTTGAAAGTTTCTCAGGGTGGTTATAAATATCATCCCATACTATATGACATAAGTCAGACTGCGCTAATGCAACTCGCATCGCTACGGACGAGTAGCTGAGTATCTCTTCCGCAAGCCGACGCGCAAACTGCCGCGAATGAAACTGAAAGTAAGACGCAGACGGTCAACACACAATCATCTTCATTAAAAGTAGGAGGACAAACTTATCTTTCCAGTGCTTATGCCGCCCGCTCTCCTATTGCGGTCTTTGATCTTGAAATGAGCTGATAATTATTCAAATGCAGCGCTTATCTTTTGATTTTGTTGACGTGAACTCCGTTAAATTTAAATATAGCGCGGGAATTGAAGATCGGATTTATATCCGTTTTGGGCCGACACATTTATGTGGTCAAGTGTAAATGGAAACGTTTTAACAAATCAGATAGATATCCGATCAGCGAAAACGCATGAAATGACCAGGTGTAAACAGGCTCTCTATTGGGTCCGTGGATAAACTCTTAAAGGGACCGCGGTCCAATATTCCTACTGCTGTCTGTCATATTAATCAAAGAACAAAAGACAAAGAAAATCACTTTCTGCTCTTGACTGAATACGTTTTATAACCTTAATGGTAAGCATTAATCTGTATTTAATTTTTACAATGAAGACTACAGAAATTAAAGTAATCAAATGTAAAATAACACTGGATGTGTTATTTTACATTTGATTACTTTAATTTCTGTAGTATTTCTTACCTGAATAAAAACTTACTTAACCTGAAAAACGTAGTTTCATAGCTATCTTTATTCTATTGCATTTATTTGTGCTGTTGTTTGCAATTTTTTTGTGTTCTTATTTTATTACTGACTTTTTACTTGTTTTTTTATGAAAATAAAACTTTGCGTTGAAGAAAAGTTGATTTTTGTTTGTATATGCTGTCAAATATAGTTCTTAGAAAGAAAATCAGAATCGGCAAAAATCGGTATCGCAGATCACACTAACAAAAAAATCGGAAATCGGAATCGGCCAAGAAAATTGCAATCGGTGCATCTCTATTCATCGGTCTGCTTTGAATGGACGCTGCAAGTGTAAGTCAAATATGAAAGAGAAAAGATAATAAAATAAAGGTGAAAGTCAAATTTGTTGAAAAAAAATTCCAAAGCTCACGGCATATTTTAACGTAGGGCTAGGAGAAGATGCAGATGCAGATAATAAAGGTAGCGCTATGAGTATCTAGATACAATAGGCTATACAGATGCATCTCAATAAATTAGAATGTCGTGGAAAAGTTC